TTGGAAGATATTTGTTAAAAACAAAATACGAACAATTGTATTAATTAAACTATTAAGTGGGCATGGTTTGACTATAAGAGGCTTCTTCGTTTGGAATATAAAAATAAATTGATGTAATTCCCTTTATTTAATGATATTGGATGTATAAAAAATAAATGGACATTTATTCAATTACGAGGGTTGTCCCAAAAGTTGTAGAAAAAATAAATAATTTTCCTTTGCAATCAAAACTTTTTCCTTGTCAAAGGAAAATAAACACCTAGTGACCACGATTTTAAGGTTTGATAATTATATAGCGCAATAATTAGAAAATCAATATATACATCGGCACAGGAAGGCAAACATGTCCGGTAATTAACGTTACATATACCGCGTAGATCGTAGTTCCCTTCTGTGCAACACGTTTCATATGATATCTTTGAATTCTCGAAGACAATGGCAAATCACTCTTATTTATAAGAGGCGCATTCGAAATCCGTAACTGCCCTTTTACTGTTTATCTAATACACATTTCAACACTGGCGAGGTAGTCTTTTCAGATTATAGTTTAAGAAAATACAAAGTTTAACCGTCGATCATGAGGCAAATCAAAGAAAAAAATTATTGTTAAAATAAAACATTCAAAATTTTTTATTGTATAAACATTTTTTTTTAATTCACATTTAATGAAAAGGTTAATTATACATGAATCATCATTGTAAGATACAGTCAGATTAAAGTACTTGTTATAGGCTCAAACGTCTATTGAAAAATACAAATTGAGAACATAGCAAAACACTGACCTATAAAAACATCAGAGGTCGTATCAGGTGCCGTGCAGGAGTAAGCATCTCTATCCAAGGATAACACCTGCAGTGTACCCCTCAATGACACGGGATCTCACTCCTGGTTGATTCTATTCCTATCACATTGTTCTGTAATATTCAGTATTACTTAAAGAATGATTGCTGTCTTGAAATTTGATTAGGAAAGCTAACCTGGATGCCAGGTTCACTTTCTGCTGAAAATGACCCCGTTAATTTAAATAATAAAATGCTTTCTTGTAAGTACGGCAATTAATGTCGCAGCTTAAAGTTGTTCATGTACTGATTAATGCAATGGGGCTTCATAAGAAATAAATGAAAATGGAAAAATATCCAGTGGATGTAAATATATAACAATTTACTGACTAACATCCCATGTTTCGTTTCCAACATCAAAGTAAAGTAGAGACTTAAACCCTTCATTATCTATTTTGAACATTTCCTGAAAGTTCATGTATTGGAACGCAACTTTATGAAATTGCAACGTTCCTGAATTTTAAAGAAAACGAGTAATTTTAGCAAAGAAAAGACTATGAGCCCACTCCTTGATATCGACTAAAACTAAAACATATTTTGCAATCTGTATGAACAGTTCTATCATTACAAAAGTGCACACCTAAATCCCCAGTCACATTTCCAAAAACGACCAACGGCCGACGGGTTTTGAAGCAAAAATGGGATTCTTCGGGTGACAGTCGTCAGTTTATCGGCCGTTGTCTTGGCCGATTTTGACTCTTTTTTTTGTCGGCCGACCAATTTTGTGTCCATCGGTCCAAGTTATAATTTTTCATGCGTCGGTGGCCGATTTCTTCAACTGCAGTTATCCGTCGACCAACCTTCGATCATCGTTCGACCATCGGCGGTCAGTTTATTAAGTCGTTCGTCCGTCGTTGGACAATTAGGGTGTTGAAAATTTCGGCCGACGATTAAAATCAAACTGTAGCTCAGAGCTCGATGATCGGGCGACGATTGGCCGACTTGTGAATATCTAACCTATTAAGGATACATAACACAAACAAAATTTTCATGCAAGGATTGATATAAATTTTTTGAACGGAAATAATATAAATAATTAATTCGTATGATATAAAGTAATCTTACGTATTCTTTGCTGCTTAGATATGCACCATTATTTGTCGTTTTTATGCAATTCCATACAAATTTTGCACACATTTTCAACATTGAGTCACAATTTTATAAGATTCTGCCACTTTGCCTTGTAAACATTACTCACGTCCCCTATCTGAATATAGATCTATGAAAAAAAAATTGCTGATTTCTAAAGAAAAGGGATTTTTTGTGTTATTCATCCAAGTCATCGGTGTCCCTAGGAAATAATGTGACTGCTCTTTGTCGCCCGATACTGTGTCGGCCGATCCTGTTCTTTCAGCCGACAAGACCAGAAAAATTTAGTCGCCTGACTATCGGCTTAAATGTGACCTAGGCATTAGCCTAGAGGCTGTGCTCTATATAAGATACTGAATTAAAATAATGATGATGATAATAATAATAATTAGGGATGGCAATTTCTAATCGGTTAATCGATTAATCGATCGGAACGATTGCAATCGGTTAGAAAATCCGTAATCGGGTAGTCGGAAAAAAATTAAATTGTGTAAATTTTAACACAATATCCAAAAAATTCAATTTAAGAAAAACACAAATAAAAATATTTTAAATGTTTGCAATTTTTACTTTCAATTTAAGATGATTTGGAGATAATTGAGGTTCTTTGGATCGACATCCTAGGGGTAATTGGTCAGTTTTTGATACTTTAATTGTTGTTTAAATACCATGCCGTTACTCAGCCTGTTCTGCGTTTCTTTAATGATTTTAATTAAATGATTGATCAGCAGCGTAAACTGATTGTAATGTGTATCTTCCCCCCTTTTATCCGTTATAATTACCTATCAAATTATATTATAAAACAAGCATTGTAAATTAAGCGATAGTTTAGACTTCATTTTGATAATGTTGACAATACGGAATAAGCTTGCATCTCTTCTGATTTTTTAAAAATATATCTGAGACTTGCATGTCTTCTTTTGAGTTCATTTTTCTTTGTATTTTTTTTAATTGAAATGAATAATATAAACAAGTTTCTGATATATTATGAGCATATTATTTTCGCATGTAACATCCTCTTGGTCATATTTATTCTAGGAGAGCTTTAAATGATGAAATATGCAGAGAATTGTTGATACGATTAACCGATTAATCGGTCGGAACGTCTTTCTGTTAACCGATTGGCGATTCTGTATTCGATTGCCATCCCTAATTATAATAATAATAATAATAATAAATCCGCCCGTTTTTGTAATTTTTCATGATATTGAAAATTGACGCAATTCGTGACGTCACAATGCATTAGCTAACCAGAAAATTCCTCCTTTCAAATGTATTTGTATTCACAAATGATATTTAATGATTTTTTAACTAAAACTATGTAATTTCAGTTTCAGAAATTTACAGTGCCAATGAAGTTCTAAATGAACCTTATTCTTAATGAGACCGTTTTGTTGGCAGAGCAATGTATTGTATGTAGTGATGAGGGACAGTCACTGTGGTCTGATACAGGTATTATTCCATATCCAAGAACGAATATCAGGAATTGGCGGATAATGTTTCTTTTCGTGTATTCTTGCACACATTAAACATAAAGCTTTTCCCCAATTAAATCTGATGCCCCGATACTTGTCTCTCTCTTGTAGATACTGAGAATAAAGTGTTTCGTTTGACCCAATCCGGTGGAGTTCCTTCGCTAATTCTGAAGGCGAAGAATAATCCAATATGTTAATAAATGTTCCTTTGGGAATATATTCGAGAACGTTTTGAGGTCCATTGATGATAGGTATCATGGTAAGATTATGAAAGAAAAAGTTGAATAATTTTTCCGATGTGTAATCTTTGCATATTGAGTTCTCAATCGCCAGGAAGAACTTGTATTCCTCCGCAAACTTCATGTGGCACTCTGTTATTAGGCCTGTTGGTCCACCACATTTTAGTTTTCCACATTTTCCATAGATATCAACATCGATATATTCCTGGAGCTTTTTGATGTAGTCTTCCCGTTTTGAAGGCGTTTTACAATGACTAACTGGCCAGGCAACGGTCTTTTTCTTTTTTCGAAATATTTCTGAGTAATTTCGTTTTAGAGGAATTTGTCTTTTACCAACTTTTCCATAAAACACAGTGATATCCGAATCCCTTCGGTATGTCATTGTCCAATTGAATTTATCCTTCCATTGTTGAGGTACAGAATACAGAAATGGAGACTCGATTGAAAAGAATGACCAAATATGTCCTTCTTTCTTTGTCGGTACTTCTGCAGGTAGATCCTCTCCAAAGAAAATAATGCTCTTTGAAGTATCATAGTACATGTTTTCAGTGTACACAAAACATTCATGTTTTAATTGTGGACAAGTAGCGGAATTCAAAGTTCTATATTCCATTTTCATCCACGAAGGTTTGTTATAAAACATAATATTGTACCTAGATTTGTCTTCATCTGTTGTTTTAGCGTTCAATTCGGTCCACACTTGTTTCATCATGTTAATTGCATTACTTTCTTGAACATTGAAAGTTACTTTTGGGTAATACCATATTTTGTAATATACAAAGAGAAGGAGACACAGAGATAAACCTAGTATTACTCCTCTATATTGTTTTTTTCTCATCTCTGCTTTTCATTCACAACTGTAGCTACATAAACTGTCAAGAAAAAAAAACAAACATCTCACTAGTAAAATTCACGAAAGCCGGATAGGCTCATTTCTGAAAAGATAAAAAAAAATATATTAACTCGTTATAACGAGTTAATTATCTCGTTATAACGCCTTAGTTATCTCGTTATAACGAGTTAGTATCTCGTTATAACGAGTTAAATTTTTTTCTATCTTCTCAGAAATGAGCCTATCCGGCTTTCGTAAAAATTAACCTAGTGAAGAGTGTTGTGTTGGATAATAACCTAACACAGGGTTCTTTATATACATATATTTATTCTACGATAAACTACGTCCAGCTACATGAGTTACAAGATATATTCTGTTCGCTCTCTATAGATTCTCACACTCCCCAACTCCCATACTGCACCCATATCAAATATCATCAGCTTTCATTCATTCATTGCAGCCAGCGTGGGAATATTAATCTGACTGCAGACTATGTTTACACTACATCTCCCCTTCAAAGTCAGTTTCACAAATTAAGTTTGATTGGTGGTTTTGATAACCTCCCAGACTTCGTTATGTATCCTGACAAATTGTTGTTTTCTTTCTCACTTGACATGCTCTCATTTTCATTCATGGTTTCATTTTCACACATGCCATTCTCATTAACTTTCTCTGACTCAGCATTCTTTTCTGTTTCAACACTCTGTCGTTCTTCTATTACATGCGATCTGTTTCTCCTCACATCTCCCTCCTGAGTTTTTATTATATATGATCGGGGGAAATCTAGACAACTTTTTACAATCCCTGGACACTTCTGATCTTTCACCCACACCTTTTTTCCGGGTTTTAATTGACTCAAATTTCTTGCGCGATGCCGTCTGTCAAAGTTTTTCTTTTGTTTGACTTTGTGATTTAATTCACGCTTTTGTATTAATTTTACATTTGGCAATTTTGGTTTTAATTGCTTTGGGTTAATTGGCACATTTGTTTTTATTTTTCTGTTCATCAATAATTCTGAAGGGCTGTACCCATTGCTTAGCGGCGTTGAGCGATACATTAACAAAGCTAAGTACGGATCAGATGATTTTTTCAACATTTGTTTAATGGTTTGCACTGATCTCTCTGCGAGACCGTTGCTTTGCGGATAGTTGGGACTACTTGTTACATGTTTGAAATCAAATTCTCCTGCAAAATCTTTAAATGTCTGAGATGAATATTGTGGCCCGTTATCCGAGAAAACTATCTCTGGAATTCCATGTCGCGCGAAGATTGATTTTAAATGGTTAATAATCGCTGCCGACGTTGTGCCAAACAACTTTGCAATCTCTATGAATCTTGAATAATAGTCAACAACTAGCAAGTACTTTTGACCATTCAGTTCAAACAGATCAGTGGCTACTTTTTGCCATGGTCGATCCGGAAATTTACTTGGAATGAGTGGCTCTCTCACATTTTGAGAACCCTCTATGCACTTTTGGCAAGATTTTACTAAATTTTCCAATTGAGTACTCAAGCCATTCCACCAAACAGATGACTTGGCTAACTCCCTGCATTTCACTATCCCTTGGTGACCTTGATGTAATTTCCCTAACATTTCCTCTTGAAGTTCCTTGGGGATGACTAACCTTGTTCCCTTCAGTAACAAACCATTTTGTACTGTAAAGTCTCCCCTGACTTCCCATAACATTCTCAATTCTGTTGGGATTTCAGATTTCTCGGGCCATCCCGATTTACAGTATTGTATGACATTGGCACACAGTGTGTCCTTGTCATAAAGTGATTTTATCTGATCTAATTTGCTAGGTGATGCTGGTAGACTACTCATTATGGCGTCAACAAAAGCATTCACCTCACCATCATCTGGGGCGGGCGGATCCACAGGTGCGCGTGATAATGCGTCAGCTGTGATCAGCTCTTTACCAGGGGTGTGACTTATAGTGAAAGTATAACGCATAAGTCGCATCCTGAATCTTTGGATTCTAGGGGGTAATTCAGACAAATCTTTTGTACTTAAGAGTGGTACAAGTGGTTTGTGGTCCGTTTCTATTTTGAACTCTCGACCTATTAAGTAGTCACTGAGACGTTCACAAGCCCAAGTAATAGCTAAGGCTTCTTTTTCTATCTGGGCATACCTTTGCTCCGTTTCTGACATTGACCTTGATGCATAGGCCACAGGTTTCCATGTTTGCCCGTGTTTCTGCCTTAGGACCGCACCTAGACCGTATGACGATGCGTCCGCTGAGACCATTATGTCTTCTTTTGTGTCATAATGTGCTAGACAGGGAGACTGAGAAATTTCTGTCTTCAGACTCTCGAATGACCTTTCTTGGGCCGGACCCCACATCCATGCATTCTTAAGTTTCAGCAGCTCTCTTAGAGGCTGTGACCTTTCTGCCAGCTTTGGTGAGAATCTGTTGAGTTGATTCACCATACCCAAGAACCTGCGTATGTCAGATACATTCTCTGGCTCTTTCATGTCTAATATAGCTTTGACCTTTTGCGATTCTACCCTAATGCCCTTTTCGTCAATGACATGACCTAGGAATGTCACTGATGGTTTTGAAAATTCACATTTCTTATTGTTCAAAGTAAGGCCATTGTCCTTGAGAATGCTTAAAACGTTTTCGAGGATTGTGTCATGCTGACCTTGCGTTGCAGCAAATATAAGGATGTCATCCATGTGACATAACACACCTTCAACCCCACAAAGGATTTCTGACATTCGTTTCTGAAAGAACTCACTGGCTGAGTTTATTCCAAACGGAAGTCTATTAAAATAGAATCTCCCATAAGGTGTAATAAAGGTTGTAAGCAGCCGTGATTCAGGTGCTAGGTTTATTTGCCAAAACCCTGAATTTGCATCCAATTTTGAGAATATTTTTGACCCTGATAATTTGGACAAAGACTCTTCAACTGAGGGAAGGGGATGATTTTCTCTTTTGACTGATTCATTTAGCTTTTTCAGGTCTACGCATATTCTTACTTGACCATTGGGTTTGGGGGCAATGACCATTGGAGCACACCATTCAGTAGGCTCATCGACCTTGGAGATAACTCCTAAGTTCTGCATTCTGTCTAACTCCTCTTTGACCTTGTCTCTTTGTGCAAATGGCACTTTGCGAGGTGTCGACAATGCATATGGCTTAGAGTCTTCTTTTAAGTTTACTTTGTATTCCCAGTTACTTTTCCCCAGCCCATTGAAAACCATTGGGAACTTTTCGCGGAAATATGTTTCAGATTTTAATGTTTGAACGTTTTTCGCGTTGACAGACGCAATATTTACCTTTTCAATGATGTGCAGAGCAATGATAGCCGGTCTACCTAGTAATGCCTGGCTCAATCCTCTCACAACATATATTTCTTGCACACTGAACACACTTTTAGACTCAAGCTCACAAAGAAACTTTCCCAACACATTTAATTTTGAGTTTCCTGGTCCATGCAATGAGCGATTCACTTGTGAAAGTTTAATCCCTCTTAACTGTTTGTACGCGAACTCGGGTATCACTGTTACGTCTGCACCAGTGTCTATCTTGAACTTCACCGTCTGATCTCGGATTTTAAGGTTGGTCATCCAAGGTTCTCCTTCTTTGGTGTCGACGGACCCAAGGAACCATTCACCTCTCTCACCGGAGCTCCTGTCCACTTCTGCTATGTTTGCTTTGCGACAAACTTTAGCGAAATGTCCTTTGTTGCCACATTTATGACATTTAGCGTCTCGGGCGGGACACTTGTCTCGAGGGTGTACTGTCGCGTTTCCGCATCTGCCACAGCCTGTCAGGTTGGTTTTATTCGCTGTCCGGGCTGGTTGTCTGGGATTTGCTTTTTTCCTCTGGAATCTTAGCGCGTCCATGTTGTTTACGGGTACCTCTGGTGTTGTTGACCCTCTCACAATCGGCTGTTGCTTTTTGATTGTTTCGTTCTGTCTGGCCATTAATATCGCTGACTCCAGACTGAGTTTTGAATCAAGTTGTAATTTTTCTGATAGTTTTCTGTCCCTCAGTCCAACGACTATCCTGTCTCGGATAAGGTCATCATGTAGGGCGCCAGAGTCGCAATATTCGGCGAGGACATGAAGGGCAGTGATGAAACTGTCAGCTGTTTCGCCTTCCTCCTGCTTCCTTTGGTTAAATTTTGCTCGCTCGAATATTACGTTCCTTTTGGGAATAAAGTACTTTGATAGTGCTTCTTTGACTGGCTTCCACTTAACACTATCACCACTGGAAATTTTCAAAGATGATAGGATGTCGTCAGCCTCCGGTCCCATGGAATAGATCAGTGTGCTGACTTGTACGTCCTCATCTGCTTCACAAAGTCCTGAGGCGAGTCGGAATCTCTCGAATCTTTGGAACCATTTTTCCCATCTCTCTGGCTTTGTAAAGTCAAATTTTTCCGGGTGAGCAAATTGAAATGATGCCATGTTGGTACTGGGGTAGTCCTTTTTAACTTATAAAAGTATTAGCACCGCTGCCACCATGTTGTGTTGGATAATAACCTAACACAGGGTTCTTTATATACATATATTTATTCTACGATAAACTACGTCCAGCTACATGAGTTACAAGATATATTCTGTTCGCTCTCTATAGATTCTCACACTCCCCAACTCCCATACTGCACCCATATCAAATATCATCAGCTTTCATTCATTCATTGCAGCCAGCGTGGGAATATTAATCTGACTGCAGACTATGTTTACACTACAAAGAGAAATATATTTTTTTTATTCTTTTAAATCTATGTATTAAAGCAAATACACTGAACTTTTAGCAATCATGTGTTATTAAAAGAAGGAATTAGCCTGTTGTTGTAGAAATATCAAAAGTATGCTTTGTTCATGAGTATGTTTGAATCAATGTGAAACACAACCTCGGTTTTGTAATGAAAGCATTAGTTTAAGATTAATCTTTATTAAAAAAAATCATAATTATACAATTTGTTTTAAAACACCCTATAGGCACTGTATTGCACACTGACAAAAATCCCGTTTTACTTAGGAACGAACTACAAAGACCAAAAACTTTGGTTAATTGAAAAAAAAAATCAAAATTATTCTATTTAAAAAATTGCCAGCGAAAAAATACATGTCCTTCATGTGCTTTTCTTTTTAAAATAATTAAACTATTTTCAATTTAATGTAACTTAGAAAATAATCAAAATAATACAATTTTGGTTTTAGTCGTAAGTTCTATTGTAAAACAAGCACCAGGATTGACTTAAAGTTCAAACATCAATATGTGAAAATGTACTGTAACTGAGGAAGTTTTAGGAAAAAAATATCTCCATACCAGTGGAAGATGTTGAAACATAAGGAATTCAAACATGGAATGTTGATTATGAAAGAATTGCTCTATATAAAAGTATTCTTATTCATCAATATATAAAAGTATTCTTATTCATCAAAACACCGAATCCGATTAATTTTTTTATTTGATTATTTGAATGTTCAACGCAGTTTTTAAAAGAATAAATTTGTATGCATCATAACAAAATGTTTACATAAAATGTAATTAGACTAATTTCCTTTAAAATTCATTTCAAGGGGTCCGAATCACAATGAACAAATAAACAACAATCATACGGCACTATTTAATGCTAAAAATGACGAAGTTAGCCCAAGAAATGAATCGAATTTTGTTTATTTGAAATACGAATATTTTGAAGATGATTATACTATGAACTTTTGCGAGAAGCACTGGCTTGTACAGTTGACTATGTCACTCAAAAAAACTCTGTATGTTTCTATTAAAAATATATGATTTTGTCTATCCTCCATAATTTTTCCCCTCATTTATTTCATTTTATACATGAATCATAGTGTTTTTAGCTCACCTGAGCCGAAGGCTCAAGTGAGCTTTTCTGATCAAAATTTGTCCGTTGTCTGTCGTAGTAGTGGTTGTCGTCGTCGTAAACTTTTCACATTTTCATCTTCTTCTCAAGAACCACTGGGCCAATTTCAACCAAACTTGCTACAAAGTATCCTTGGGTAAAGGGAATTCAAGTTTGTTCAAATGAAGGGCCACGCCCTTTTCCAAGGGGAGATAATTATGAATTAGAGAAAAAAATAATGGCATTTTTAAAAAATCTTCTTCTCAAGAACCACCGGGCCAGGAAAGATGACACTCATATGGAATCATCCTAGGGTAGTGTAGATTCAAATTTGTTCAAATCATGACCCCCGGGGCAAGGGTGGGGCCAAAATGGCCGACCCAAATTTTACATAGGGATATATAGGAAAACTCTTTAAAAATCTTCTTCTCAAGAACCACTGTGCCAGGAAAGATGAAACTACAGTAAAATTATCTTCAGGTAGTGTAGATTCAAGTTTGTTCAAATCATGACCCCCGGGGCTAGGGTGGGGCCAAAATGGCCGACCCAAGTTTTACATAGGAATATATAGGAAAACTTTTTAAAAATCTTCTTCTCAAGAACCACTGGGCCAGGAAAGATGAAACTCATGTGGAATTATCTTGAGGTAGTGTAGATTCAAATTTGTTCAAATCATGATCACTGGGGCTAAGGTGGGGCCAAAATGGCCAATCAAAGTTTTACATAGGAATATATAGGGAAAATTTTTAAAAATCATCTTCTCAAGAACCATTGAGACAGGAAAGATGAAACTCATGTAAAATTATCCTCAGGTAGTGTAGATTCAAGTTTGTTCAAATCATGACCCCTGGGGCTAGGGTGGGGCCAAAATGGCCGACCCAAGTTTTACACAGGAATATATAGGAAAACTCTTTATAAGTTTTCTTCTCAAGAACCACTGGGCCAGGAAAGATGAAACTCATGTGGAATCATCCTCAGGTAGTGTAGATTCAAATTTGTTCAAATCATGATCCCCAGGGCTAGGGTGGGGCCAAAATGGCCGATCAAAGTTTTACATAGGAATATATAGGAAAAATCTTTAAAAATCTTCTCAAGAACCATTGAGACAGGAAAGATGAAACTCATGTAAAATTATCCTCGGGTAGTGTAGATTCAAGTTTGTTCAAATCATGACCCCCGGGACCAGGGTGGGGCCAAAATTGCCGACCCAAGTTTTACATAGGGATATATAGGGAAACCTTTTAAAATCTCCTTTTCAAGTATTCAAAGCCATGATTAGTGATATTTATATGGAATCATCCTCAGGTAGTGTAGATTCTAGTTTGTTCAAATCATGAACCCCCGGGGGGTTAAAATTCAAGCCCCCCCCCCCCCCCAGTAAACTTTTAGTTCTGATCTGATATGTGCTATTTCCTAGCCGATGTGCTCAGGTGAGCGCTGTGGCCCCTTGGCCTCTTGTTTCTATTTTTTTTCTCTCACATAACCATTTTTCTGATTATGTATATCATATACTTATACCTCTGACCTGAATAATTATATTTATGCTGTAACTATTTTTCATCGTCCTCATGTACCGTGTATTTTAAATGGTTTTGAGAGAATAAATGAACTTGAACTTGAACTTGATGATTTACCTTGACATTTAAACCCGGTTCATGTACGGAGGTACAAGATTGA